AGGCGCTCGGCTGCTTGAGAGCGCGCTGTCGTGTTCAGCAGGGAGGACAGAACTTCTGGGAAGGGGTTATGAGTAGCACTCCACTAATAACACCGAGACACTTTTTAAAGAAATAAACTGCGAGCCCCACACAGTTTCACCTTTGTCTCAGTTCTCGGCTCCTCTCTCGGGCCGAGAGTTCTGTCCCAGGCACGCTGGGCAAAGTCATGAGGCCATTCCATTCCAGCAGCGAGGCAGGGACAATCCATGGGATTTGCCTCCAGTTCTGTTCCCTGACCAAGCTTTACCCCCACATAGGCTCGAGGCCACAGTGGTTCACCATTCTGCCAGGAAATCCGTAGCCCAGCCTACGGGGGAGACCCTGCAGTGCCCAGACCCTGGGAGAGGAGAGGTCCAGGGATGGACACAATTTTCAGGGAGCTGAGGGTATGAGGTGGATATGAGGTGGAGGTTTGGCACATCTGACTTGCCCCAGGAACTTGTCTCTGCCTTGAAATTAGGCAAATATGTGTCCCTCTTTCATTGCTTCCATCTTGTGTTGCCTCCCAGACTCTCTTCCAAAGGCAAGGAGATAAGGCCTTTTCCTAGTGAGCCCAAGACAGGAATCCTGCCCTGCAGCTTTGTGTGCTGCCGTGCAAGTGATATTTGTCCTATCTGAATGCATGGATGCAAATCCATTCCAGAATCCTGCAGGCTTTCACACATATTCGAGGTGCATACCTCATTTCAAGTGAAATACCTCAATCTGCTTCTTGTAGTTTGGGTGGTTGCCTTACATTCCTGCAGTGGTCAGCTTACAAATATCCCCCAGGCTTCTGTGTGGGCACTGCTCCACCATTGCTTAAAGGAAATCATTGCCCTGTGATCAAGTCTACTCACCCATGTCCAGCTCTGGGGGTTGTTTGTTTTTGTTTTTGTTTTTCCTGTTTTCTTTCTTTTAAATGCGACAAAAATATGTGTTTGGAATGTGCAGAGTACAATCCAGGTCCAAAACAAAGCAAAATGAAATGCTGTCTGAGGTGAACTTTAGTTTTGCCTTCCCAGCTTCCCGACATCCCAAACACAGTGGGAATAAAAAAGTAGAAGCATACTACTGATGTGTGTATGCTAAAGAGTGTAAAATTCGAATTACTAGTATTGCTAACATTGTCAGGTGTAGGACTAACATTCTCAGCCCAGGACTGGCTCTCCAAGCAGGAGGCAAAGCAAATCTGCTCTTCTGAAGTTGCCTGTTTGCAGTTTACATCTTCCTCCCACTGCCACATCTCAACACAAAGAGCCTCACCAGGACCCACGGCTTCAAGGCCATAGTGCACCACGCTGCAAACATTAGATTAACTAAAATATTAGGCAACTATTGTAAGTCTGTGTCTTGCTTTCAACTTTCAGAGTTAATTTTCCTCCCTCAGAGCTGGTTTAGTGCTGCATTTTTTGATTTAGGATTAGGAAGATGTTGATAACACCCTGATAATTTAGTTCTTGTTGAGCGATTCTTATGCTTAGTCAAGGATTTTTCAGGTTCTTCTGGCCAGTCAGGAAACTGGGGCTGCATAATAATTTGGAAGGGGACAAAGGCAGGGCAACTGATCCCCAGTGGCTCAAGGGATATTCCTTATTCCTTATCATATGGTGTCATGCTGAACGATGAAACTGAGGAGAGTTGGCTGCTGGTTTCCAGCCCACTGCTCTGGCACTCCTTGGGCAATGGTCAGCAGAGGAGGAGAACTTGATTTCTAAAATCTCTTACCATTATTTTCCCTTCCTTTTCTGCCCTGTTAAACTGTCTTCATCTGAATCTACAAGCTTTGGGTTTTTTTACTGTCGTCTCTCCCATCCCACTGGGGAGGAAGTAAGATAACACCTGTGTGGTGTTTACCTGTCTGCTGGGTTAAACCAAAGCAGTTTGGAAGAGGAGCACAGTCTTAAAGCCCTGTGTCCATGGAACAAATAACCCAAGTAAAAGTTTTCCCAAAAGCATTTCCTGAAAGAAGCACAAGCTTGGTCAAAAAGTGGGAGAAAGGAAAACACCACAGGCTGCCCATACGAGCCCCAGCTTGGGTTGTGTTTAACAGCTGAAAGAGAAGAGAGCTTTGAGTCTGGTTCCTGTCCTCCCTATTCCCCAGAAGACCTCCTGAAGAGTGAGCAAAGTGCAATGACCAACTTTCTCATGGTGGAAGTGAATATTTTCAGCGTGAACTTGGACACCACCTGTGGAGCTTTTAGTCTCCTCCAGGCTGCAAGCTGAGTTGGGCTCAGTGTGGCTGAGGAGAGCCTAGCCATGCATTTCTCACAGGTGAAATGACAGAAAGTCCCAGCCAAGCAGAGCAGGAGGAGGGAAAGGTGGTCTGTGTGTGGCAGAGGACAGCTCTGTTTGAGGTGTCTGTATCCTGTTTCGAAGCATCAAGTGTTTAGCAGCAACAGGAGACCCAGTTGGCTCCACTCACTACAGTTTCTTCCCAAAATCTGCTCTGCATGTGGAGGCAAAAAAGAAACCAGTATGGCTTAAGACCGAGCTTTTTCCATGTTGGAGCCCTGGGGGAGCCATCCCAGGAAGAGACAGGAGATGGTGCTCTAACAGCACCAGAGGAACAACAATTACCCATCACACCTCCAACGGGTCAGTTACCATCAAAGTAAAAATACAAAACCCGCATCCAAACAACCAAACCCGGGAAAAAACTGAACAGCCACTCTAGCCACGGGGAAAATGTTTTCACTACCAGAGCTTCAAGTTTGCCATTCATCCTCACATTTGTTTTAAACTTTGGAGTGTAAAGGCTACACATGCCAGGCAGTACCTGCCGGCTCTACACTGTCAGTTCTCAATGCAGCCAGCTACTGTAGTCGGTGTTTATCTTGGAATTAAAACACAATTTTGCGCTCGATCCCCTGTGGCAGCTGGGTGTGCCCACCCTCCCACTTGCCTTTGGACAGCTGCCTACTACTAGTGAGGCAACCACTCAAAAGAGGCTCATGGGTTGACAGCAGGATCAGGGCTCATGAAAACAAGGATGAGCTCTCTCCAGCTCAGGAGGGATCTCATGGTCCTGCAGCACATGAACTCTGACCTCTTGCATGAGGCCTGCAAAAATAAATGAGCAGATCATGCTTCCTATTTGTCATCCATATTTTAAGGGATAATTCAACTTTCTACACCTAAGTGTTTTCATATTGAGTACTGGAGGTACTGTAGTAGCTTCCTCAAAACATTACATTTTATACCAGTTTGGAATAGGGACAGCTTCGCCAAGGAGAAGATTGACAAAACTCAGGACACTATTAATGCTACCTTTTAGCATTTCCTCACTTTTTAGATAAGAATATCAGACTGATAGATCAGCCAGGTTCATGAAGAACCGGAGTGACAGAAAGATCATTTCTCTGATTCATATAGAAATAGATCAGACAGATTCCTATCTGTAGGAAACTAAATCGAAATTATTTTTCCCTCATAGGCACTTTTCCCCAAATCTGAGAAGTCTTGTTACAGCTTCAACACTAAGAAGTTTCAGATACCACAAAGGTCATCTAAGCCAGATAAACCCAAAGCCAAAATTTAAAGACCTTAATAAACCATATATCTACTTCCTAAAGCTGTTCCCTGAGAAGTTTTCTCTCCTTTTTCTTATTGCCAATGAGTGTGATTATAGAGCATAAAGTGACATACCTGCATGATAAAGCCTTATTGTTTCCCTGGAAGATATCTTCTAGCTGCAGTGGAGCATAAACATTGTGTTATCTCTGCAGCAGCAGGCTCAGGACCCCATTGTGTCAGGTCCCCTTTGAAGACAGGAAGACAAAGGCAACCCCAGTCCCACATCTCAATGAAATTACCTTGGGTGGAATAAAGGATTTCTGATCCAAGGCTCTTTCCATGGAAGAGAGCAGCATTTTACCCTTGACTTCTCTGTGCTGAGTGGTTAAAGGGGGCAGAGGAAGAACAAAGCTCCAATCATTTCACCCCCACCTCTCTTTCCTAAGAGCCCTTCTGCCTCTGCAGAGATATGCATCCCTTTCACCTGGAGACAACACTGCAGCAAAAGGAGAGCCTGCTGGCAGTGCTCACCTTGCTGGGACAATCAGAGCCCTTCCAGGGACTTGCCAGCTTATCAGCGCTCATTGTTTGCTCCAGTACACACCTAACTGCTCCCACACAAGGAGCCTTTCTCTCTGCATCCATACCCTCCCTGCATGGGACAGGAACCACGGGAGGTTTTTTTATTCTTTGTACAGCACCCTCATTAGCCTCTGTCCTCTAAGAAAGGAAATGGAAATCAAGCAAGATTTGATCACTTTCATATGTGATCCAGACTGCTTTTAGAAAGTACAAGCTCCTGGACAGTATTGAAAATTCTGATGTGAAGTCTCTTACCATTATGAGGTAAACTGTTCCAAAACCTATGTTAACCCTCTGTCAGGTTACCCAGGATGCTGCTAACAGCCACAGAGGTGCTTTCCCACCACCCTCCCAACACAGTGTCCAGAGGGCTTATTTTGAGCCAGGCACACTTGAAAACAACCAGATGCAACAAGCCCTGTGTTGTGCTTGACCCCCTGATTGCTTGGAAATTGTCTGGAAAACATCTTTCCAGAGCACCTCTTCTCAAAATTTCAGTGGAGACATCCAGGTATGTGACGCAGCTGCAGAAAACACCACCAGAAATCTGATGATGAAGGAATAAATACAGCAGGCATGAAGCACAGATGTACATAAGAAAAATCAGGGGTTTAATGATAAATAAGCAGGTAAGAAAGATAATAAAGAACCAGTAAGTGTTTGACATATTCAGTGTCTGACATATTCAAAATCTTTCCCATACCAGATTCATAGTCTTCAATTAGATGGAATCTATCATGGGAGTAAAGTGTCAGCTTTAGAACTTAAGCATCCATTAGTAGCATTAATCTGAAAGCAAAATTTGGGATCTCATTCTTGGTACCACTTGTTACAAGTTTTTCTGATCAGCTGTGAGGGACTGATAAATGTTAAGACTAAAATGTCTCAACCTTGTTTGAACTTTATTTTGAACTGTTGCTTAGAAATCTATTTTATTAACCACCTTAGTTGCCATCTCCAATTTTGACTGATTTCCACTTCAGCCTTGATCTTCAGCACTGACTCCACTTCCAGTCCACTCCCAGGATACCTCACACAACTGATACATGGCTGGTTTGTCACTCCATGTCCTGAAGTTGCTTACAAATTTAGAAGCCCGCTTTTAAAAAAAGCATTCTGCTTTGTCACTTTGGCTGTGAAGGATGAATCCAGTTTACACTTTCCTTTCACTTTAAAACTCCAACCATTCTGTCATATAAATACAGTTTGATGGAGAAATCTCACCACCTTCATGACAATCATCAAAAACCTGCAAAAGAAAGCCCTGTGTCAGCAGAATAATTACTTCCAGTTGGATGGTGCTTGCCGTGTGTAACATGCTCCCATGTTTTCTGCTGCTTTCCCAGTAGATCAGCATTAGTCTAACAGAGGCCAAAACCTAAGAAGTTTTATGGCAGCTCTGAGGGAGAAGAGAAAAACAGATCCCACCACAAAGGGACATGCTGGCAAGTTTTACCTACAAACCAATTCACAGTCCAGAGAGGCGAGACTAAAAGCTAGAGAGAAATAATTCAGCTTTGTAAAAACACAGGCAAACGTGGGATCAGAAATAACATAATTTGGAACAGGCTACACTTGACAGCATCCTTTCACACAGAGTCCAGTAAAGAGACAGGCTGCAAGTGGGAACCACCTGGCAGAGCAGGTCTGAACACCAAGTACAGAACCTGTTACACCACAGCTAAGGCCTCACAGGCAGCTTTTAAGCACAGCTGGCTTAGCCCCGAGGCTGACTCATGGGCAGAACTTGCCATGTGCCATCTGGCCACTGCAGGCCTGTGTTCAAGAGCTGCATGCACCACTAATGATACACAGAATTGGTTACTCACAGGGCAGAGTCCACAGGGTGTCCTGACCAATCCAGTGGGCTGGATGAGAGGACTGACGGCTCTGTACAGCCTCATCTGCCCATCCACGCTGCCCACCGTCCCCTCCTTGGCAGCAATAATGGTCATCTCCACTTTGCCATCATAGATCAGAGTATTCAAAATGGTCTCAATGTCTTCCATTGACAACTCTACCTAAGAAACAATTTGTGAAATAGATGTTAGGAAAGATGTGTGCCAGTGAGTCCTGCAAGGAGGAAAGGAGCAAACACCATGAGTAACAAATCCTTAGAGTTCTAGCCTAGCCCAGAAAACGGCACCAGTCTCACTGGGAACTTGATGGAGTTGTGCAGATGCAAAAAGAAAAGCAAATACTAATACCTCCTACCTCCTGAGCATTTCTGATTTGCACTAGCCTTGGTCTTACCAAAAAGAACTTCCCTATGCACCTGAGATGTCTCCATCAGCCTAGCACAATACAGTTCCAGTTCTGCAGGAAAACAGTTATGAAAGAAGAAAAAGACAAGATTGCTAAAGATATACTTGTTGATACACCCCATAATGGTGGGGTATTTTTCCTCTTCTTTTTTTCCCTTCCCTAAAATTCCTTGAAGTGCATATGTAAACTTAAAGAGAAATGATGAAATCTAAACCAGCTGAGACAGCTAACAAGGATGTGAATGCTAATTCTTTTACACATTGTTGAAAACCCACATGCACCAGCTATCCTGGTATGCCAGGCAGTATCAATAACCCTCCCCAAAAAGCAATGAAGCCACAAAGCTCACCTCCACTACACAAGCTGTGGGGCACTAAGACACTTATGAGACCTTCAGCAAGTTTGCAGTACCCAGCTCCTAGAGCTAATCATGCACTGACAATGTGAACAGCAGTGAGATCAATCTGTTCTGACCTTACTGATGCCCAGTTCACAGATGTATTTCCACACCTCGTGGGATGAGGCAAACGAGCTGTTCCTCTGTATCATGGGATTCTGTTTGCTGTCTCGAGCTGCCTCTGCCTGAGAAAAAGCAAAGGTTAGAGTCAGCACTCGCTGCCAAGAGTCTGCTTCATGGTTCAGTTTCAGGCAGACTCAAAAACAAAACTTGTTTTCCATTTCTGGGACATGTTTAGCATTTAAAGCCACATTCTTAAAACTGGTCTATGTGAGACAATGCAGTGCACAATCAAATATCATTTTATAATAAATGACATAAAATTTACACTGTAATTCAGATTAATATGGGAATACCAGCATTTGGCATTTTGTTGAAAAAAAAAAAGTTTCTGCTGTACCTACAGCCAATTAAAAATATATTGTAATGGAACAGACACATGCTAGAATCTGCAGAAATATTTAATGAACCAGAGACAATTTAGACTAGGGGCAATTGTGTTCCAGGCAGAGCTACCTGACTGACTGCTACATTACACCCTCTCAGAAATGAGGTGCTCTGCAGAAACCACAGTGACTTTTCCTAGATTTTTGGTCCTGTGGTCTTTGCTACCTGGTTTGTGTCTTAGTTTAAGACAATTATATGATAACTCCAAAATTAGTTAGTTTTAACCCTTTAGTTTTAACCAATCTCCTTCCACCAATAAATAGACAAAATGGGAGAAGACAAAAGGGAAAAAATATCAAAAAAAAAACAACAGCCTCAGCAGTTCCAGAACTTCCACAAAGAACAGTCAGAGGGGGACAGGGACAAATCAAAATCTGGATAAACAATTTTTGGCCAAAAGGCTCCAATGCTGCCAAAAACGCTGGAAAAAACTTCCCAGCAAGTTGCAGGTCCGCCTCCTCCTTGACAAACAAACGGCAGGGGCAGGCGGCTGGAAAATCGCAGAGAGAGCGTCTGACTGCTCCTCGGCTGGAAAAGGTATTGCGAAATTCCCTCAGGAGCAGGTCTGGACTGCAAAATGCAGCTTCTCGGGTGTGAAAAATGCGTATTTTATGATTGGCTTTTCGCAAATATTAAAATGAATATTGTACGTGTTATGTTAGAAAGTTATGCTGTATTAATTTTCTTAAGTATTGTGTTAAATATAGTTTTAGGTTATAACATAATGTTAAAACAGAAACTATGCTATGTAAGATACTTTTTTTAAAGATAGGACTTGCACCAGATAGCAGCCACAGGACACCTAAATCTTTCAGAGAAAAAAAATTTATTGCCCCATTATCAGAAGAACTAACTTCTTCCTGCCTCACTCAGCCCTGAAGATGCAGTTAGGATTCAGAGGAAGAAGCTGACACTGACCAGACAGAATCCTTTTTTTGAATGGAATTATGCATCACGTATGAGGTGTATGAATATGCAACAGGCTATTGCTTTTAAGGGTTAATCCTCTGTTGGCGTGTGTCCTTTTTTTGGCTTATTTTGCCCAGAAAGAGGTACCCGGAATGTCCGTACCTCTTTGTTTTTATTGTCTCATATCGTCCTAATCCAAATTGTCCACATTTTTATTACTATTAAACTTCTAAAATTTTAAAAACAAGTGATTGGCGTTTTTCACATCGGGCATGACTTGAAGACCCGCCCCAGACAATCCCCTCGGGCACCCAGGGAGAACAAGGGCGTTCCCCTCATGTCCATTTCCATTTTTAAAGGGATCCTGCACCCTCCCCTTCCAGGATAAAACATACAAGTTCCTCTTTCCCGGGTTGCTGGCTCTTGGGCAGGCTGGCACACAGAAGATAAAGAATACACAATTTTGGGTCAACTAGGACAGTTTGTCATTGGACCTCGGGGATAAAAGGCCTTCCCTCCTTGCCCAGGGTGTAAAAATACTCATCATTAAATACAACACCATCACACCTACTGTGACAAAAATAATAGTCCAGTATGGATTTGCCAATCTAGCTGCAATAATGGCCAACACTTATGGAAAACCTAAGCCTTGCCTGGCACCTGTTTACACAACAAACGGCAGGTGACTTTGGCACTCACCTTGCTCTGCAGAAACTTAAAACACTGTTGATTTAACACCTCCACAAACTCAGACTCGAAGTCCTGGTCACTGTACCAGGCCCCTCCAGTGACGGAGCGGTCGGGCTGCAGGTTGTACAGCATGTAGACCTTCTTCTTGGATGCCTGGGGAGGGAAATGTACAGCTCTCAACAGCTGAAAGCCTCCATCAGGAAGGAACATGTGAGCAGATAATCTGCAAAACAGGTTTATTATTCCTATACCTAAGGCACAGCAACCCACCTGACTCCAGCTATCCTCAACCTGCTTGACCCTCAGGAAACACAGAGATAAAGAGAAGATGATTTCGATTCCTAATCATTTTATAACATGGTGTTGGAAGACCAGATGAAGCCAGCATCTTTCACATGAACACAAACATGCCACTGCTTTGCTGTGTCCAACTTCTCTACCCCCACCTGCTTTACCAGACTCACCAGACAGCAGAGAAGCTGACCTGTGCACCCAGTATCTGCTGCACCTCAAACCTGCACACTGAAGGCAGAGAGTCAAACACTGCTGCACAGTCAAAGACAAAGGTGGAGGCAAAATGAGGTTTCTCTGCCCCCAGGCCCCTGTTAAAAGCATACAAAGCATGCAGCAGATGCTTGAAATTATTAAAAAAATACTCACTGCCACAGATTTAACTGCTTTAATTAATTTCTTGCTTTCCAAGTTTTTCAGTATCTTGTTGATCTCTGTTAAAGGCAGATTGCTTTTGTACCTAATGTCCCTGCTCCAAATACCTGTTAAAAAACAGAGAAGTGAACAGAAATAAATAGAAGAAACCATTTGTTTCCATACATACCAACCAAAAGTCACATCAGACAGTGCTTGGGTTGCCTGCCTGCCACTCCCAGCAAAAGAGAAGGAATGGACAGAAGGGACTGGGGAAAAACAAGCAGGTATGGGGCATTAGATTTTATATTTGTATTGTCTGGGCAAGCATTTGTGACTTTGGACAGGAATGGTCCCATAAGCAAACAGAGTTAGTACCATTCACAATCATAATTTAAAGTACCTTTGTTGCCTGCATCCTCTATGATTTGGTAAACCAGCTTCTCTTGATTGTCAGAACCTTTCATTTTACTGTAAACCAAGACAGACATCAGGATTTATTTAAAGGTCCAAAATTTGAAAGAAGTTTGATTTGTTTTAAACAAGAACTGAAGTTTCATTTGTTTTAAACAACAACTGAAGTTTCATTTTTTTTTAAACATGAATTGTGTTCCCAACATACTTACCCAGCAGACACAGGCTTACCTGGCATTTTGGGAATCTTTGATTCTGTACAGGAGACCTGCACTGCTCCTCAGAAGGTCCAGCTGCCCCTAGGAGAGATGGGCACAATGCATTTACTTTCCTTCAAACAGCTTGTTTCAGAAGGTGTTTTAGAAGAATATTCTGAAATTCTAAAATAAAAACCTTGTTTAATGTCAACTAAATAAAGAAAAATGAAAACTAACATTTCTAACCACTGGAAACAATAACAGCCTTGAGGATATTTTTTTCCCCTGACAAATTTCCACTTATCATCAGCTATCAGAAATAACAAACAGTTCCTGACCCTTCCCACAACATCTACACAATTCCTACTATTTCTCCTGACTTTCACATGGTACAGGGGACTTCCAGTTCTTGCACATTTTGCTCTCAGTTTCCACCAATGCACTGATTTGCATGGCAACCCAGAAATCACGGCAGAGCTCTGGAACAATTCCAAGTTCCAGCAGCAAAGTTCTGCTTTTTACTAAGTGGCCATCACTGGGAAGCTGCCAACTTTGATGGGCAGTGACCCTTAGAAGTAAATTACTGCCATGTCTCACACACACCGAGACTGTTCTGCTGTGCATGCTTGTGGCCAGGCAAATTCCTTCTTTCCTCCTTTGAAGGGGAAAGCAGTTGGACAAGCCTAAGGGTGTAAGTGTGTAAAACAGCATTAATCAACATTCGCTCTCTCACTGCCAGCTGATCCTTTCCTACAGTCACAGCCTTGGTTGTTACAGTTTTGGCAGGTTCCTGTGTGCCTTCAGAGCAATCCACAAGCTTGGGATTTTGTGGGGGGTCAGAGAACACCCCCACCTACGAGACCATGGGCTCACATCCTCCTTTTCTCTAGAGCTAACTAACTGCCCATCCCTAATGGGCCTTGTGGTTATGTGTGTGCTGAGGAAGATGGGAAGGTGGGCTGTCCCTACCATGGAGAGCAGCCTGTTGATGGCCACAGCTCTCTGCTGGGCTTCCATGTGAGGCATGTCATTCTGGATCACCTGGTCCGTGATGCCATGGGGGAACTGGTGGCACAGCTCAAGGATCCTGCAGGAGGAGAGAAACAACTTTAAAAGTCCTGTTCTGTTGCATCCAAACCAAATCCAAACAGCACTGGAGTCAGGATGGAAGAGAGTGACAAGAGCAACTCAGGGGAAAAGGTATCCATCAATTGCTTCCTCAGGGAGCTCGGCACCAACTCCCTGTGCACCATTTCCCTTTCCAAGACCACAAAAACTCCGGGACAGCCGAAAGTGACCTGACCCAACCCTCACTACTCCCTAAGAACCTCCCAACACGAAACCCTCAGTGTCCCCAACAACCCTCTCCTTCAGCACCCATCTCCTGATTAACACTCGGCCGTCGAACCACCCCCCACAGGCCTTGAACGACAAGGCCCCGCCACGCCCGCTGCCCCCCGCCCCAAAACCCGTCCTTCTTGGCCTCCACACAGCCACTCCATGCGGCGCCCGCAGCACCTGCTCTCGATGTCCATGGGATCGGGCACCTCCGGCTTCACCTTCACCTCCGCCATAGCAGAGGGGCTCCGGCGCGGCGGGATGACGTCAGAGACGCGCGACGGCGGGAGGGGGCGGGGCCGGTTGCCGCGCAACGGCCAATGAGCGGCGGGAGCGGCGGGCGCGGCGTCCCTGGAAACGGGGCGGGATCCAGCGGGACCCAGCGGGATCGGGCGGGATCCAGCGGGTGAGCCGGGGCTGGGCAGCAGCGATGGAGCGGGGCGAGGTGTGGGGGCAGCCGGGGGTGCGATCCCAAAAGCTGGAGCGGGGCCCGCGTAGCTTGGGTGTGCCAGGAGCGGGGGGAGCGTGAGGGAAAGGATGAACGCCTGCCCCTCAGGCCGGGGATGGAGCTGATCCGCCCGGGGTTCGGGGGTGTGTGTCAGAGGATGGACCGCGCTCGGCTCGGTGGTGCCCAAAAATGGGACAGGAGGAAACAGAGAGAATCTGGGACACGGGAAGTGTCCCGCTTCCACGGGAAAGGTTCAGCCGCACCCGGAAAGGAGCGCTGGGACAGACTGGCCAGAGAGGGTGGGGTGGCCCTCGCTCCCTGCAGTGATGAGAAGCATCAGAGTTGTTCTGGAGCACTGCAGGGTTGGTGACAGAACCAAATTCTTGTAGCCCAGACGTGTTTCCTGGCCCTGAGCATCAATTCCCAAGATCTGGAGCACATTCTCTTTGTTTTGTAAAATGTCATCATATCCAAATGCAATTTTTCATTCTTGAATTACATGACATGATAATGGCTATGTACATCAGGATAGATCAGGTTTGGCACCTGTTTCATGGATATATTCTGGATTCACATGATAACTGGCATAAGCTTAAGAAATAGCTGGTTTTCTTTAGTCCTTCCCAGGGCATCCTGTACTTACTCAGGTGGCCATAGTGGGACAAGGATGGTTTCACATCTGCCATGGTTAGGGTGGAGATTCCTGTCCCTTCCTCCTTCCATGTATCACTGACATGAGTTGCTAATGCTGTTAATCTCAAACACACAGAATCACAGTCACAGGACGGTTTAAAGAATCCAGTGTTCCCTCTTTAAGAGAAACAAAGACAAGGAATCATGCTAAAAGACTGTATTTCTCAGTGCATTCTTCTTTTTAGGAAAATTATTGTTTGCCTTTTTACTTTCCTATTTTAAAGATCACTGCTGAAAAAATGACAGCTGGCTCTGTCTCAGCTCCTCAGATCATCCCACTTCGAATCCCACCTCCAGGAAAAGCTCAACGGGATATAGACACAAATACTCTCATAGAAATAAAATCAGGTATGAACAAGAGCTTTAACTCCGCCTCAAACCTGTACTTGTGTGTCCATTGGAAATATTTGGCCTTTATACTTTTTTCACATTTAATCATGATTTTTGGAGTGTGCATTTAAGGAACTTATAAAATTAACCAGTAGGTTTGATACACCAATGTAATTTTATGCATCCAAACAATATTACTGACATAAAAGTTATATGTGTTCACTGTCTTAATTGCTTCCAAGGCCAAACTTTTAAGCTGTTGCATTTGGCTTTGACTACAAAAACAATGCTTGAAAGAATCATGTGCCAGGCTCACTCCCAATGTTGCCGTTACAATTTTTGAATTGTCACCTTTTGCTGTGGCAGAAAATACCCTTTCTGTCATTGGAATGAACAAGCTGCTGCAAGGATTGCATGCAAAATCATTTCACAGATACTTTGCTGTCAGAAATATTGCTTACAGTGAAACTGCTTTTGTTGAGTAACTGATATTTCATGGGAGAAACAGTTTTGATCCCAAACATTCAGTCACTTATGGACCTGCTTTATTATCTTTATGTGAGAAAAATCAAGCATAGTAGTGAGTACTTTGTTTTTCCAAGGCTGACTACAGTGTGAGGAATTACTTTTTCTGTTTCTTTCAGATACACCTGGGGCCTCTATTTATTACACTTTAGATGGAAGTAAACCAGAACTCATTAGGAAAGCTGGCCATGGGCCATATAACACTTTGGAGTATAAGGGTCCTATCATATTACCAGAGGGGAAAATAATGGTCAAGGCCCTGGCAGTTACAAAGTGAGTATCCTGTTTTGGTTTATTTTAGCCCTGTTTTGGCAAGGAACAGACATCCCTGTCATAGCCTGTGTTGTTTAAAGCACTCCATACCCTGCAGGTGAGAGATGAGCCTTTCCCCAGGCAGTTTGCAATCTAAATGATCCTCATGAATAGCACTGACTTGGCTTTCTCAGGATAATTTTTATCCTTTAAGTGTTTGTGTGGTTGGATAACCTCTTGGGTGTGATCTCCAGGACTCTGGGTGTCCATTGATCCCAGAGGCTGTGGGTGAGAAGCTGATGTACTGTCCTGAGAGCTCATCCTTTGGAGTGTGATCATCAGAAACACCAGAGAAACCAGGCTGGTGTTTCTGGAGTCACCCAGTGGTTCTGTGGATTTATAGAAGCTGGTTTTCCCAGGAATTTGCTTTGTTTCTCCCAAAGGATCACAGAATGCTGAACCTTACAGCTTAAGTACAACATTGGGTGAAGCAAAAATGCAGTACATTGTAAGAAAACTGGATTTTGCTGCACAACCACTGACTTTGTCCAAACTAACTTCATGCTTAGAGATAGAGAGGGAGGACACATCTATTCTCTGTCTGTACTGTCTTGCATTATCTTTTATTTCCAAGGGAGCAGGAATTTCCACTCCACTTGGAGACTGGTGTTTGCTGTTCCCTGTTGGCAGCACCTGCAGCCAGCCTGTGCTTGTGTCTGCTCTGCAATACATTATATAACACACAAAACCTAGGCCTATGTTTATTTTCTTGCTTTCACTGCCTAGATAAACACTTCTTTCCAAACTGTTTATATTTATAAGACATTTTCAGAGATTCACTATAATGACAATAAATCATGGAAGAGTGGTTTGGACATTTACAGCAATTTCAATCCACTGTTGTAATTTAATAGGTATTAGAGAATGACAGTTGTTTTAGCAAATAAATATTGCTCAGGATTCTACTGCAATAATGTCTGGCAAGCTTGGAAGGGATGTTCCACCTAATAAGCCACATCCATCAGTGATTTTCTTTTGCAGCACACAGGTCTGTGGCAGGTTCTTAGCTTTGTGAATATTGATTTTCAGGGACCACAGGGAGAGTTCAGTTGTGACAAAGGTGTTTATGGTAGAGTACCAGCAACCAAACTTCCTTTTCCCTGTTGAAGATGATGACAAGAATTTCCTAAAAGATATGGCCACACAGGTAAGTTTTGGAAATTGTAACCCCTTTTGTGAGTATAAAATGTTATATATATGATATTATTTAGAGATTAAGCTTTCACTGCCAGTTTTATTCACATATCTTATTTTCTCTGTTTGCCCATCTTTGCTGCTTTGGTCCTTTTTGTAATATTAAAATTTCAAGGGGACACTTGCCCTCCCCCCAGTAGTATTTTATGAGTAATTGAGGTAAAATATTTTAAAAATACATTTATCAGTTAAGCTTTCCAAATACTCCCATTGAAAATAAATACCTTAAGCATGTACTCTTAAAATTTTAACAAATAACTATAGCAAGAGAGGATTAGAGCAAAAGCAAAAATTTTGTTTGGAATTCAAATGGAATTACATTTCAGAATAAGGAAGGTGGAACATTTACTACAAAACCTAAGAAGAATAGACTGAATGTGGAAATCAAGCCTGCCTGGGATGAAACATCCCAAGACCTTCAAGGTAAGCACCACTTCATAAAACTGAGATAGTCTTCTGTTCTAGCAGAAAATAGCATGGAGTTTCCCTCTTGTATCACTTGTAAAATGTGGGTAATTTTAAAACTCTCTCAGAAGACAGAATATCCTCTGGAAATTCCAGTTTGGATTGCTCAACACTGCAAATAGAGAACAAAATTTACCTTCCATACATTTCACATGACTTCTTAAAATCACATTAAAACATCACTCATTTCTCAGCAACACAATAAGGCCCTGTCTGTATTTCCCTTTGTGCCAGAAGATGCTCTTAAATTGATGGGATTGCAAATCCTTTACAGAGTTTCTTTACTGGTGTTTGCTTGCAGCAAGATTCCAAAATAAATACACTGAAAAGAAATGAAAGCTTCACCCAGATTTTCTCTGTAGATAAAGTCTCTTATTCCATGGCAACAGCAATGGGACTGTTTTAGAGCAGGTAATTATATTAATGTTTACTCATTAATTTACTCTTAGGAGCTGGGGTTTTTTTAGCATGCAGGAAGGAAGAAAACTGTAAATAAATTAAAGCACAAAAGTAAGCTCTGTCAGAGAGGTGTGGGGTTTCTTCTAGTTTCATTTCCTGTAATTCCATGCAGCTTATTTGAACCCAAAATGTGGATGCCAAATTTGTTTTTAATTACACTTAGCTAGTATGTAACATTCCTATGCAGATACATATTAACTAAAGCATGAAGTGGGTGACAGTGGAATAACAGGATTGTCATTTTAATCTTGGAAACAGACAGAAAGCCTTCTCACAGATCCCCTCAAGGACCTCAGCTCCTTGCCAGTGGTTTGAGAGCCACAGAGCACAGAGAGAAATCCACCTCAGCACAGCCAATGGAGTCCCTGCAGGTGAGCAAAGGGCTAGGCTGAAGAAAACTGCAAGGCTGTCATCAGGACAGAGGTCTAAAAAAGGAGGAGGTGAAGATTTGTGATCTCTCTCAGCTATTAATGCCTTTCCCTGGATTCAACAGTCTGATTTAAATGTAATGGTAATGATGCACTAGAATAGAAATGCCCAAAGCAGGACAGAATTGTCAGTATGGATGAAACCAAGCAAAGGAAATCAATACTGACTGCATTCCTACTAATTCTTTTCTAATACATTCCTGAATCTGCAGTTAGCAAATACTTACTGCTGTTTGTTGGCAAGTTAATATTTTAAACTCAATATTCAGTAATGCTGTGGTGGAAGTATGTAGCAAGGGATTGATTTTTTTTTTTTTACAAGAAGCCATGTGTCCTTAATGCAGCTAATAGGGGAAGGAAGGCTCCTCAAAGCAGTGCATTTCAGTGCAGTTTATTTCAAATTGCACGAC